TTTTGTTACAACTCATCATCCACATGTACGTGATTTTTTTAGATATATTTGAGCCCTCCTTGTTTCTGACTATCCATCATACCAAATAAAGTAGGCTAGTCACTCATTTCCTAATTTAAAAAAAAAGGTGAGGATAGAATGTAGAATCAAACTTGGTGAGCTGATGAAAACTAGTACTCCACAATGCAGAAGACCCAAAATAATCTATCATAATACAAAATCTCAAAGATGATACAATAACACTAAATTATGTAAAGCATACACAAATATGCACAAAGGCACATCATATATGAAAATAACTCTAATATACATAATAATCATTACTAGGTATATAGCTGCCTTAAATTCTTTTTAAACTATCAATGCATCAAACTTTATATACCCAATACTCTAGAATATAAAATTATCAAAACATTTTGGTCTAATGCATATGTTATTGCTATTCCCTCTGACATGAGTATCACTATGGCAAAGTAATATTCCTATATTAAAGTATTTTTGAGACTACACTACTTACTGCAAATGTTTCTTCTAAAGAGGTTGCTATATTGCCAAAAGCTATACAAGCTTGTAATATCATCAGTTCAAACATCATGAGAAATTAAATAAGTAACCATTAATTAAGTTAGCAATAATTCCTTTAACCAATAAATAAGAAGCATCTTTTTATCATATGAAAAGCTTCATCAAGATTTTATTTAAAACAGTTTTTTTATTGCTTTCTCAAACAACATTTTAGTACAAAAAAATTTTGTATTAAAAAGCTATTTTAGAAAACTGTAAGAAATGTGTCCCAAATGAATTCTAAGTTTCTTTTGGTCTGTTTTATTTATTTATTCTTTTAATTTTAAGGATTGTAAACAAAACATTTCAATTTCTGATCTATCAGATCAAGAGAATGAACAAAGTTTTCCAAGTCTACACATGCACGAAATAAATGAGATGAATGACAAGTGATATTTATTGAGTTATGGCTGTCAATTTCCCCTTTAGAAAAATATTGAATAAAACATGCATGTGATTACTTTCCCTTAGATACTACATTTGATTTAAAAATAGGTCCCTTATTTCTGTGAATTAAAGCTCTCAACAAGCAACCTACTACTAAATAGGCAATGAAAGGGTACGTTCTTGCTGAATTATATTGGAAAAATATTTTAAGTCAGAATATTCTAATTAAAGTTTGATTCCAATAAAGTTTGAAATTATTAAATATTTTTTAATTAAAGTTTTTATTTCATACATTTATCTTAAAATAAATTCAATAATTATATGTTCGTTTTAGCTAAAAAATTAATTTTGAGATTTTTTTTGGTTGAGTATTGCATTACCCTCAAAAGTCAATCTTATGTATATATTCATCCTATCTGCTAGAATGTATTTGGCACACCTTCTGTATGATTTTTCTTGGCAATGCAAGTGCGCATCTTTTATGTACCTGAGTCATTACATATGTGGGTGATATTTTGAATATCCCGATTCCAATCATTTTATTTTTCGGCAAATTTTGATTAGACTTTTCTTTGTATGTTATCTTTTAACTTTAATATTTTATGCCTACCACTCGTAGAATAAATATGAATGCAAGGAATAAAATATTAAAGTTTATAGGATGATAGTAATAATATATATGAATGGGGTCATATTTGATATGAGTGATATGTATTAAAATTATTGATGTTAGATATATAAATAATATGATATTTTTTTTGGGACATTTAGGCCATTTAAGGCAAACTCACACACACAACGCATACACCTAGACTCGAACTCTAAACCTCTTAGTTGGAAGCCTAAGCTCTCAACCAATAGGCCAAGGAGAGTTGTGTTACATCTTTTTTTATAATAGAAGAGTTTGAAATTTGTTTATTTTATTTTATCACAACACTTGATATTGCACTTTTTATTATTTAATTTCCCATTATGTGAGCATGTTGTGGTGCTGATGGAAACTAGAAAATGAGTTAATGTGAAATGAATTAGATTATAAAACTGGTCAGAATTTATTGGACTGCTTCCTCTCAACAAAAAAATCAGATGGTTGAGAGAGCCATAATTGTTAGTATAAAATTTTTTACTTCTTGAGAATGACAACCAAGGGAGAAGATCGAATAGATTTCACCTTTTGTTTTCAAGCTATTTAAGCCTCGGTAAATCCTGTCTATCACGACTTTCAATTACATGCAAATAAGCTTTTATTATTTGATGGGCATGTTCTATTCACACGAAGGAATTTTCTTTCCCTTTATCGCTTAGTTTTGTACATGTAAAACAGAAAAAAAAAAAAAACTGCATTTATATGACCATACAAATGATCATCATTTGATCTAGCAAGAATTTAGAAGGATTCCCGGATCTGAAAGCAGCTAAGAAAAATGATGCTTAGTTAATGATTTTACTAGGAGAAATAAAATCAGATACTAAATAAGCCTAGACAATTAAGAATCCGCATTTTGTGTGGAAAGACATTCTACCCTTATTGTTCAATTGAAATTTTATGTTTATTTGATATTAGAACTAACATTCCTTGTTCAAACATCTTTATTTGCTTGTTTGGGCATAATTAATAAATACTATGCATAGAATGTTGAGGTATCTCCCTGTACTTTGTGCTAATCATGACATTGGTGCGATGAAGCAGTCTCCACTAGATCTAGGAAGATTTGTTTATATTGGATCATCATAATTAACCATCACTAAATCTCATCATTCTCCTAGCTTGGCGAACATCATGTGGTGAACTTCTATTATTGAATTGAGGTTCTCCTATTATTGTAAGCCAATGATTTTCTCAATATTGCCAAATTGTCATAATTAACTTGCTCTAGTAATTGAAGAAATTCCTAATCATAACATTGGTGCGATGAAGCATTCACCAGTACTCCTAAATGAGAAGAATTATTTTGTGCGCACACTGGAAGGAGAATATCGTCCGGATTGCTGCGCTTTTAGTATCCTTTTGCTGCGCTTTGCAAAAGGGTGGTAAAATGTCAACAAATATTTAATATTTAATATTTATTAAATAATTGAATATTTGTTACGTTTTTTATGCGCTTTTGCAAAAATACAACAAAGGTGCAATAAAAATGCATTCATAATTGAATATTTTTTGTCCTTTTGCAAAAGCACAACAAAAAAGCAGTAAATCCGGACGGTTCTCTCTGTCACGTGTCCGCACATGTTTTTAATGAAATTCTTTAAGATAGTTATATGCCCCCATTTAAGAAGAATGTACCCTATGGGTCCAAGGCTCTAATTCATCCTCATTAGTATTTTCATGAGACATCTTTCGATGTTCTGTGTTGCTGTACTCCTCTTTAGTTCAAATTAAATCATAAATATTAAATCTTGCGATTGGTCCATCAAACTTTCACCACAAGAAATACACATGTTTTTCTAAACTACTTCGAAGCGCGTACTGCATAATAAAATCATTGAGAAAATCCATTACCCATCTAATTTACTCATGCGTTTGGTGTTCTCCATGAAACTTGACATAATTCTACTCTCTCCCTTACGGGACCATCAACTTATTTATTGGCGCATAAATTTTGGATTCATAGTTGACTAGTTCATCATAAAATGAAGGATAGCTAATGACTCCTCCATTGGCTCCGCCATTCACATCGCATTTACTGGTTTCACCATTCATGTCAACATCATTATATTGTCAGATTAGGATAAAAAATGAGTCATATAGTCATATTGCCCGCCCTTGCTTGCTTGTTGATCTCGCCGATCACCGCCGCTGGGAGATAGAACATGAGAGGCTGTCAGCACTGTCCTTACTTACATCGCCCACTGCTCGCATCAAAAGATCGTCAGAGTGATTAAGAGAGGAGACAATATTAGAAGAGGAGATGAGACATTACCACCGCACCTAAGAAGGGCTACCAACTTGCCGTCACATATTTCACAGGAGGGTGATTAAGGGCAAAGTATTACATCCGATCATCAGACCAAGAAATAGATCCGGATATCCACTAAATATTTGTCATGTGGATTGCACTTTGACTCAAAAAAGCACAGTCAAGAGCACAGGTAAAGCTAGTATAGGTAAAGCGCAGGTAAAGTACAGGTAAAGCGCAGATAAAGTACATTCAAAGTGCACCTAAAGTACACCTAAGCGCAGTCAAAGCACAGTCAAAACCCACAGTCAAAGCGCAATCCACGTGGCAAGTTTTTATTGGATGCCCGGACCTATTTCTAGGTCCGGGACCGGACGTAATAATTTGCTGTGATTAAGAGAGGTGACAAGATTAGGAGAGAAGATGGATATTACCACCGCACCTAAGAAGCCTATGAAGCCAAGGCTATTTTTTAGTGAATTTATTATCATGTTTTATAAATGATATGATAAAAATTGAAGGATTCAACTGCTCTTTAAAATTTCTATAATATCTTTAGTAGTCCGAGGAGTAAGAGTGTAAGACCATTTATTTTATTATTTATAATGATTTCACTTAAAAGCAAAGTTTTAGAAATGGCACAGAACCGGTTGGTTCGACTCGTCCAATCATGAACCGGCTACAAAATTAATCTGATTTATTCTGAATTTATGTTTGGCCATTATTTTGTCTGTTCTTTCAAAAAAAATTTTGAGCTTTCTAAAACATCTTTTTAATATAATACATTTTTTTAAACAATGAAAAAAAAACGAAAACTGTTAAAAATAATAATAATATTATGTAAAACAAATCTTACAAAATAAAAGTATATATATATATATATATATATTTTTTTTTTTTCTTTCTTTCTTTCTTTATTACCACAAACTACGAAATGTATGGCAAGGAGCGTAATCAGTCAATAAGGATATCGATCGGTGGAGCACGCGAACATGGACGCCTTTATTAAGCCAACAACTCATTCACTCATTACATTTATTTCTGGCTCGCAAGCACATATGGGAAAGGGAAGACCTTTTTCGTTTTTTTTATTTTTTATTTTTTGGAATACATAACTCGTCTTCTATTTATAACCAGCTTACGGCCGGCCACCTTTCATCTTCCTCGCACACAGCGCTTAAGCTTTTACAGACAATCCTCTCTCTCTCTCTCTCTCTCTCTCTCTCTCTCTCTAACAGTTGTGAATTCTACTTACTGAAATGGAGTTCGGGGGAATAGTCGATGGCTTGGAAGACAAGAGCATTCTCATTACTGGTTCAACTGGCTTCTTAGCAAAGCGTAAGGGGTTAATTGCTCGCTTATATCTATAGTAATTTATTAAGAAAATCATTATTGGTTGAGGATAGCTGATAAATTTTCTGTATTGGATTTTATCTTTACTTTTCGTTTTATTGTTCTAAAAATAGAAGAAAAAGTTGTGTTTTTTTCATCAAAAAGAGACTATTTTTTGCTGATATTTTTCTATCACAAATAAATTTTATACGGTTAAAAAAATATACGCATGAACATATTTAGAATGACTAATATATATAGCGATTGTCAAGCATATATATCTCAAGAAAAAAAAATCTAAAGGAATATATTTTTATTTCCTTTTGTCAAGCACTTTATTCATTATGTAATTTTTATGGAATGAATAATATTTTTTCCTTTCTAATGTTGTTTCCGGTTCCAAGTCTTTGTGGAGAAGGTGCTTAGAGTTCAGCCAAAGGTGAAGAGGCTCTACCTTCTTGTGAGAGCAAGTGATACCAAGTCCGCTGAGAAGCGCTTGCAAAACGAGGTTCAGCTTTCCTTCCTTCATTAATTAACAACCTAATTCAGTAGTTTAACTACAATTATTACACAGCTCACCTTGGCTTGTTGGTTGAGAGCTTATGCTCCAACTAAGAGGTCTTGGGTTCGAGTCTTTGTGTATGGGTTGTGTGTGTGAGTTTGCCTTAAATGGCCTAAATGTCCCAAAAAAAAAATAACTACAATTATTCAGTCATTAATTATTGGCTTATTATAAGAGTATGTGTGTATATTTACATAAACTAGAATATGTTAATTTAAAATTTTCATTTTTTTCAATATTATTGGCGACACGACAAGTTCATTTATTATTGGAACATGACCAACGTGTTGTCCATGGCTTTAAATTCACACATTATGGGCAGTGGGGTTGAGCTCAGTCAGTTTGGCAGTCTTGTTGGTGAGCTGAAATTTGCTCGAGGTGGTGGATGGAGTAATAATATCACATGTGAAAGTATCTATGACTGCATCACATTGTGTGACATATTATATAAAAATGAAAAAGACAATAAAAAATTTGATAATAAAAATAAATAAAAATATATTAGTCAATTATCATCGAATATATAAACTTTGTAAATATTGATTCGTACCAACTTCTTCCTTCAAGAAAAATTTTGTATTTATATGTAACATCAATTGAACAAGTTATTAATTGCAGAGGTCCTTTGCTTGAATTATGCCTTTAGAAAATAAATTGTATTAGGATATATAATTAAATTATATCAAAATTATTGAATCTACTTTAAAATTAGTGATGCATATAAAGAGTCTGTATTTTGTTAGTTTTCAAGCTCTTTTTAATATAATTTGTATCAAATTCAGAGTGACTAGCTAGTGCTATAATAATTATGGGGATCTTTACCTCTTGAAACTTATTCTTTACATCCAGGGTGATTAGTTAACGTTATAATCATTATGAGGATTTCTTCCTCCTCTTGAAATTTATGCTTTAAATACAGGGTAATTAGTTAGTGTTACAATCGTCATGGGAAGAATAATTATGAGAATTATTCTTAATTTAGAGCTCTACTTGTTAGAACTTTAATTTATTGCCTTTTTATGTTCATATTTGTTATTACTTTTAGCTTTGCCATCTTGTATATATTAACGGACTTGGTCCTTGTCAATAATATCATTTTTTCTGAAAAAATAAAGATATCTTTAAGAAGTATAGTATAACTTACACAAAAGAAGAATTTATATGGAAACGATGCTTAAATGAAAATCTTTCAAAAAGAGAAATTAAAGTGAAAGCCTTTTGCCAATTATATTATTCTAAGAAAAGTTTGATGGTAGATATCTTATAATGACATTATTAAAAAAAGTTTCCTCACAAAGGCCTTTATTTTTCCTCTATATTTAGGTGATAGAAAAAGAATTATTTGATTGTCTGAGGAAGAAGCATGGAAAGGAATTCCATTCGTTTATCACAGAGAAGATTTGTGCTATCCCAGGAGATATTATCCATGAGAATTTGGGAATAGAAGACATAAAATTGAGAGAATTAATTTGGAATGATATCAACATGGTCATCCATGTAGCAGCAACAACCAATTTCTATGTCAGGTAAAATATAAAAATTTACATCTTTATTTTACTTACCTATTCATCATGCCAATTCTTTATTATTTTCCTTCTTTTTTAGTTTGAAAGTTAAGGATTCTCCATCATTCTCATTAATAAAAGTTTAAGTACAATTAAAGGTCAAAAACAATTAGGGAACGATCAAATTCGCAAAATTCTGTATGTCCATTTATGTGTATGTGATATATCTATCGTTTGTACGAATATATGCATCTATGTATAAGCATGAACATAGGCATGAATGAAGCACAAAATAATATCTAATTGTTGTTACCCATCATTTGAAAAATGTTTAAATATATCGGTGGTGAAATGTGAAAAATGAGAGAAATGTGTATTTTATTAAAAGTATATCATGAAACATGTAGTGTGGGATAAGAAGATATAAATTATAAAAATTACATGATGCTGAATTTTTTAGAAGATAATTTTTTTATTCAAATATGTTCTTATTCTAAGACCTTGTCTTATATCTTTTATTATTTAAACTTTTAATCATAATATCAGTTCAAGATCACCAATTAGTGTGAACTATAATCTTGGAGCACTCAAAATAAGCTAAACTTAAACTCAATTATAGATATAAACTTTAATTTAGATGTTGAATGAACTTGACTTGTCTCAGCCATTATCAAATGGATTGTCTCATCACAATGATTCTACTAATTCCAGAAATATAGAACTTTGAACACAAAAGGCCTTATATTCAAACAACCAACTAGTTTGTAAGACTAATTGGCCCATAATTGAACCATAAAGTTTGGTCATCAGGGCCTTCATCACATTCAACTATCACATTTGAAGGGGGAAGACCCTACTTTTACTTTTGCCAATCTCAAAATGCAAACAAATCAATCCCGGATACCTTCTTATCATGAGCATTGTGTTAGTTTCCTCTTATTGATTCAAGGCACTTTTTTTTTTTTTGTGTAATTCATCTTACAAAAGTTTAACTTACTAGAGTTCTTATGACCTCCACGCATTCTTTTTTTCAAATGATTGCTCAAGTATACAAATATTTTTACATAAAAATAACGACGACGTATAGTAACTGTTTCTTGGCAACCCAAACTTTGATCCAAAAATATAACAAAATTGTTCTCATCATTTTTGGTGATATCAAATCAATTAAATTCATTTCATTGAGGTCTACAGGATAATCTTTATCTAACTAACCAAATACTTTATTGATGGTGACTAGTATCAAGTTAATAATTTTAGCCCTATATCAATTGCATGGGCAATTCCTTGGATATGCCCTTTAGTTTAGCTAAAGGGTAGGACACCAATCACTTTCTTGTTGGCTAAGAACATAATTTTCTTATCTATTGTTAATAAGATTATGAACATTATAAAATAATTGTGGATGTGAACATTAAGCCTCCTCTCAATTTATATAAATATACCTCATTTTTTATTCATGTAAGAATTTTGAAACTCCTTGATCATATAGGATTCTAGAGTTATGAACCCCAACAAAAGTTTTTTTTTATTATTTATGGTGTCCCCACTTCTATCTCGAGTTGCCTATAGTTCATATAATTTTTTTCTTATAAAAAAGGAACTCTCTAATGTCAATTAATATGATGCTTTAAAGTATTACGATTCCTTATATTCAAGAAAGGATCCTATACCATCCCATATGTTACTAGGTTTAGATTGTATAGTTCCCATTTTAGGAGAGGAGTTTTTTTTTTTTTGCTAACTTATCTACTATCGTCTGGTCATATAATCCGCTCTTTTTTTTTTTTTAGAAAGGGACTAACTTGAACCAACTTATCATTACCTTCCAGTTGTATAGTTCTTCATCTTCCATGGTAGTGATTAATTTTCTCAACATATCTCAAATGTTTAGGTTATTTAGTCCTCTATTTATGAAAGTGGCTACATATGTGTACCAACACGACTTTTAGCATGTAAAAATTTGGAGCTGTCTATCATGTCCTTATGATCCATCAACTTTAGCTAGCACCTCTCCGTTATGTTCATGTTTAACCTCAATGGAAGGATAATGTAGTACCTTAATAGCATAACCAAAGAAAACCATGATGCCTTACTGGGATCATGTGTCAATAATAGAGACAACAAGTGTTACAGTCTTGAAAGAAATACTACTTGAACACTCTATGAATAGTTGTGCATTGGTGTTGACTTCCTATTATCATCAAATTGTGCAGCCTAAATAAGGTGTTATATATCTTTGTATACGAAGTTGATACCCTTCATTAAGATCCATAAAAGGCTGATCCTTTTATACTCTATGATTTTCAACTCATCTACGTGTTCTATCAAATATCAAAATTTAAGGGCTTTTAAAATCTATCATGTATTAGAGGACCAAGGAGTCTCATCTCGTATGGGGATCGAGCATCCTAACTTGGCTATTTGAACAGGAAAATTATGAGGTCATGATTTAAATTTAAAAATATGGAATACTCATTTCATAATAATGTCCATTTAATTATTAAATTCAAAATTATATCTAAAATATGGATGCATTGTCTAGTCATCCTCACACAATATCATTCTTTTTATACAATTGATATTATTATATACTTTTCTCTATGCATATTTGATGATATTTACTTAAGTATCATCCAATATCAAAGAGGGTCCTCAATATCATAGATTGCTGACCAATAATTGAACCTTAGGGTGTACTAGTATTTAATAGGGTCCATATAAAATCCATAATAAGGTCACCAATGAGGGAGCATGAGGAGCAGTTAGTGTTTTATAAGGTTTTCACTCAATATATGTCAGAAAGCCTATTAGCATACGATTCTCAATTAATCTCCACCTAGTTTGATGTTCTTGGAGGGCTCACTAATTAGTGAGTCTTAGAGGCAGTTGGTGCAAGATAGGCTCAACATGACATGATTCTTAAGAGGGCACAAGAGCAAGTAATGCATACAAAGACTATATGAGTTCACTAAATACAATAACTATATGATTTTTAGAAGTCTATAAAATCAACTTAACCATATCAAACCTCTTAAATGAATTATTGAATCTTTGCATCATTCTTTGGAATCTTTGCATCATATTTTAGGGACAACATCTAGCATTAGAACTAAATAAGGACTATCTCAAAATTAGGAAGAGAGGATAGAACCTCCATACTTTTTAGATTATTCACCACTTATGAAAGCAAACGGAAGGCTTAACTTTCATTAAAGCTCAACAATCTCTTCAAATTCTTTTCAAGTTAACACACATTGGATTTCTATAGTTTTAAATTATTTATTTATTTATAAATGCTTTCTTATAGCTTCATATATCAATCACTAACTAATATATGTAAACAACTAAATGTATTAATCTTCTTTGAGGGAACAATGAAGCCCTTCTAGCTTGAAAAAATTATGAGGTTGGGATCATGCATATGATAACAAACTTAAGATTTATGTAGAAGATAAAGACTTCTATGGGTTGACACAGTTCGAGAAAAATCACAGTAAACTAAGGAAGTGCATGCCTCATAATAAGATAGTAAAAAATATATAATTTTACTCACCAAACAAAATCATATAAGTTATAGTTACATAAGAGACATTACTCTAATAACATCTTAACAATAAAATGGAAAATGCTACTTCCTTTCAAATTTTGGTTATTATTTTTACCATGCTTCTTATTAGTATTATATCTACCAAGCAACTCTTACACCTGCTCTTTCATTTAAGTTTGAGCTCAAAATTATCAAATTTTGAGTACTGCTGAAAAGCCTAATCAATTGAGTCAATCATTTTATAGGGTAAAATAATAAGCTAGTTTTGTTGGCTCATTCTTTATGTAAGGCTTGCATGTGAAGTTAGAAAGTGATGGCAATAGAGGAGCTTCTTCTAGCTCCAATGGTAGGTATGGAGAGGCACTTCAATCTCTTCTTATTAATAATCAAATAGGACAAAAAAATTTGATTGAAAAATAATAACTTTTCATCATCATTTTTGACAAGTCCAAATGTAATCCATAAATATTTCTTAGAATTATTTATATCAATTCAACCATTATAATTTGGATTCGTTAACTTGGTTAGATTTATAGCATCAAAATCTACATTATTATATATTTTTTATATTGATTGAGGACATTATATGTCTACTTTGGAGCAATACATTTATTGAGAGATTTTATTGAGAAGTATAAAAAGAATAAAGGGGATCTACATATGATATTTATTGATTTAGAGAAAACATATGATAAAGTTCCAAGAGAAGTGCAAGAAAAGAAAGGGATTAATAATGCTTATATTCAAGTCATTAACGAGACGATATGTATGCAGAAGCTATTACTTGTGTTCAAATACAAGGCAATTTGACCAGGTATTTTCCTATTTTATGTTGGATTACATCAAGGATCATCCTTAAGCCCTTTTCTTGTTTACTTTATTCATGGACGTTCTCACTAGACATTTGCAAGAGGTTGTACCCTGGTGTATGCTTTGTGTTGATGACATTCTTCTTATTGATAAGACTATAGAGGGAGTTGAAGGTAAACTTAATTTAATGAGGTCAACCTTAAAGTCTAAATGTTTTTGTTTGAGTAGATCTAAAATTGAATATATATATATATTAAGTGGGGGGATTGTGACTTTGGGCTATCAAGTCATTAATAATTAAGATTACATGTTTTAGATATCTTGGATCAATTGTTTAGTGTGATGGTGAAATAGATGGGGATATTATTAATAGAATTCAAGTTGAATGGTTGAAATAGAGGAATGCATCCAGCTTATTGTAGTATAGAATAGTCCCCCTCAAACTTAAGGGGAAATTCTATAAGATGGTGTTGTAACCTACAATGCTTTATTGTGCAGAATGTTGGCCATTAAAAGATAGACATAATATTAAGTAAGTGTCGCAGAGATGAGGATGCTCAGTTGTATGATTGGCTTTACTCTTAGAGATAGGATACAAAACGAGCATATATGTGAAAAGGTTGGATCAATAGCTCCAGTGAAAGATAAGATTAGAGAGAGTCAGAGTCACCTTATATGGTTTGGTCACCAAAAATGGCGGCATTTCGATGTACAAGTTATGAAAGTAGACACATTAAGTTTTGTTTTTGTTAAGAAAGGTAGAGGTAAACCTAAAAAGGCTTGGTTAGAAATTATTAGAAATGAACTTTCTTTATTATATTTAAATGAGAATTTGATTCTTAATAGGACACTGTGGAGTAAAAGGATTCATCGAGCTGACCGTACGTAGTGGGATAAAGACTTAATGTTGTTGTTATTGTTGTATTGAAGACTTTTTAAGTGATGGCCAATGTTGGTCCTCAATTAGTTGCTTGAGTTGACTCTAGACAAAGCGAATCAAGTCATATCTCTCTTTTTTTTTTTCTAAGAATATCATAATACACTCCATTCTTTGTTGATTATAGGATAGTGTGTTTCATATAATTTTATATAAGAACTATATAAATAAACCACAAATTTCAATCATTTGGGACTTTCATTACTCCTTAATTATAGAGAATTCTATAGCTTTATTTATCAACTAAAGTTTTATTGAGCATTTATGGTGCTCTCAATTCTATTTGAGCCGGCCTTAAATTAGTCTCAATTTCTATAAGAGTCATAATCCTAAGCAAATTAGTTCATCACATTTGTGCTATGCAGTACTTGCTCAGCAAAAGGGACTACCATGATCGCCCAGTTTAGCCATCCATAACATTTCCCTTCACTTCTCAAAAACCCCAAGGGGAGTTCACCATAGTAAAATCCTATACAAACTAAAGCCTTGTCCAATTTTAATGAAAGGTGATCCTTTATAATAATGACTATGATTTCTGTAAATTATTATAAACAGGTTAAGTCTATGGTGTTCCTTGTCGGATTTTTGACAAAATATTTTTAGAAAATAAATCTCTCTCTCTCTCTCTCTCTCTCCACCAATATTATTCATGATACAATACAAATAAATTAGGATATCTTGATATTTTTCTCCATTAATCTTCTTTCTCATAACTAAATATTTCTTTTTAAATACTCTACCATTGACATACAACATCTAATGTATATCTATTCTAATTATATAACCAAACTTTCCTCTCATATTTACAAAGCAGTTAATATGGGAATATATTTTTGCAGGTATGATATTGCTTTGAATATTAACGTTATAGGTGCAAAGAATGCCATGAATTTTGCAAAAAAGTGCAGTAAACTTGAAGTTTTTCTCCACGTTTCAACAGGTAAATACACAATTATACATATCCAATAGCAACACTAACTTTATCATCCGATTTTGTAAAAACATCATGCAAGCATATTAGATTCTAAATTGAACATCTGAAATGTTAATGTGGACAAATTCTAGATGAATTATTGGATCTCATCATGAAATAGAAGTTAGAATAAGTTCCTTTGATACCAGTTGAATAATATGTGGAAATATCCTTCTAAAATGTTATTTTTTACTTCATCATCTTGCACCTCTAATTTGTCAAAGAGACTTCTAATTTCTTATCATCATTTGATTTAGCATATAGATATGACTAAAACTCCTTATTTAATTTCTTAAATTATATTATAATTCTAAATTTTATTGAAACTATATTAGCCTACGTTACTGGAGAAAAAGAGGGACTCCTATTAGAGAAGGCTTTTGGCAAGGGTGAAACACTCAAAGGCAATATGTATTTGGACATAGATGCTGAGATAAAATTGGTGGAGAGAAGGAAGAAAGAACTCTTGCAACTTGATAATTCAACAATGGATGTTGAGAAAGTGGCCATGAAAGAATTGGGCATTGAGAGGTCAGAATTACACTAATATATTATTAAATGTTTTTAAATATTAATGTACTATTATAATTTAAAGCTCTATTAGAAATGCTCTCAATGTTAATTTGCATTTTTTTTAATGAAGGGCTCGACATTTTGGGTGGCCAAATACATATGTGTTCACAAAGGCAATGGGTGAGATGTTGCTTGGGCAGTTGAGAGGAAGCTTGCCTCTTGTTATAGCTCGCCCAACAATTATAACAAGTACATGGAAGGAGCCTTTTCCTGGTTGGATTGAAGGAAATAGGTAAATCAAAACAATTCCAAAATTACATTACATGATAATTTGAGATATATCTAATATTAAAATTCATTTTGTAATGTTTAAAATTATATATTTCTCAATAATAATTGCAGAACAATTGACAACATAATTGTTGGTTATGCAAAAGGAACCCTTCCTTGCTTTGTTGCCGACATTGAATCTCCAATGGATGTGGTGAGTTAGCTTCTCTCTCTCTCTCTCTCTCTCTCTCTCTCTCTCTCTCTCTCTCAAATAATATAAATGATTACAAGATTTAGGAATAATTTGTTAGGATTTGGGATGAAGAGAAGAGGTGAGGGGTTTTGAGTTATTTTCAGTACTTTCGAAGCAAATATAAAAGTTCAAAATTTTGTTAGAATATTCTAATTCATTTTCTTTTTTCCTTTTATTTAAAAGAACAAGAGCAATTTCTTTTAGAATTTATTCCCGGTAGAACGACGATGAATGCTTGTATTACTAAAATTAGTTTTTAAAAGTTATTTTTATCTCACTAAGACTTTGTTGGGAACAAAGTTCTTACTGCTTTGCTTTTCAAACTGCAACCACAATTTTCATTTGGTCATTATTTTTTCGTAAAAAAAAAAATGTACTGAAAAGATGTTTTCTACAACTTTAAAATATTTCTTTTTCTTTAACAACTTTACAAAACAATAACAAAGTTGTCCTAAACGAAGCCTAAATTAGTTTTTATTCATGAATCTTATTTATCTATAGCTTCACTTCTTCAAAACTATAACCAATGCATATGCTACATAGCTACTCTTCTATGAAAATTTTTTTAACAAAATTCTTCAATTTACAATTGCAATATGAACAATTCTTTGAAATAAATGTAAATAACTTCTTCAATTTACAAGCTATATATGACTACAAGTTTATGAGAATCTATGACAATAAACAAACATTTAATCATATTTTGATTTATGGCACTTTACAAAAGCCTCTTCAATGAAATTTAGAGATGATCTATTTAGTCTGCTTAAATTTGATAAAAATTAATCAGATTCCTGGAGATATGGTTGTCAATGCTTTGATAGCAATGGTGGTCGCTCACTCAAATCATCAAGCAGAATTCATCTATCACATAAGCTCATCTGTAAGAAATCCTGTCAAGTACTCAATTTTAGAGCAATGTGGGTACCGTTATTTTTCCAAAAATCCATTATTTGGAAAGAATGGAAAGGAAATCAGCCTGCAAAAAGTTCCTGTATTCAAGAAATTGGCCATTTTTCGTATTTTTTTGTTTATTCGATATTGGCTGCCATTAGAGGTCAGTGTTCTTTGAACATGATAAATTATTATTATTGAATTATAGAGCCCTGATGAAAATTGTAATCTTCAATAATTTGTTTCCCTTGCAGATGTTGCGTTTGGTCAATGCCATATTTTGTTGCCCATTTTCGAAGAAGTACAACGAGCTTAGCAGAAAGTACAAATTTTTGATGCTTCTCATTGATCTCTACATACCTTACTGCTTCTTCAAGGGATGGTATGCTCTATTTGACCTGTAGTTATAACTAAATTATGCATATATAATTATGTAAAATTATTAGGACCTCATTGATAATTTCGATCTCCAAATTTATATATTATAATATCTTCACTGAAAGCCTGAATTTCATGCAGTTTTGATGATTTTAACTTGGAGAGATTGAGAATGGCAACAAAGAAGCACAATGATAGTCAAATATTCGATTTTGATCCAAAGAATATAGATTGGGATGAGTACTTTTACAACATTCACATACCAGGTGTGCTTAAGTATGTCTGCAACTGATACATTGGGAAGATTCAACGCATATTTTATTAATATTGTTAAATCATTTGTTAGTCATTAGTTTCATTTGATGATCAGTAACTGAGAAATTTGTTTGAATTATATATAGAATCATTACATTAATGTTTGTTAAAGAATGACAATGGTGTTTTCTGAACATTTATATGTTTCACATATGTATGTATTATATGGAGAGATTACTCATTTGTTAGCAAGGTATTATTTCTCTATTTGTTATATTAATCACACTAATCATGCTAATATTGCCTTTCTTTAGATTAGAACAGTCCTTGAATGCTTAAAAGGATAGAGGTTTTTTAGAAGCAATGGTCATATACTTATCCCATTTTTATAAGTAAAAATTATGTTACTCATCTCAAAGTAAATCAAATGATTTTATAATTTTAATTATGACTAAATTATGTTCAGGATATTATGATTTTCTTTAGGTAATTATCATATTTATGAAGATCAGCTACCGATTGGTATGATCTTCTAATGTATGTTACTTAAAAAAACAAAAAAAATTCTACTAAAAATTAGATGTTCTACTAGCTTAAATATTCATTATTCTACTAAAATTCAAATAAAATTTTTTAGAGGAAAAGTTGCACATAAAAGTTTGACTTCTCATGGAAGAATCAAAGTGTTTATCTAACAAAAAACTCTTAATTCATCCACTTGTGGTGCTCTTTCAAAATCTCTGCATAATTTTAAAGTAAATTTATTATATATTTGGCAATCATTTTATACAATATATTGTCTTACTTTTATACTTATTTGTGATAGTCTTAGTCACCACTAAAATCTTATAAAAGACTTTGGAAGATGGGATTCCTTATGTTGCTAAGTATTTGATTAGATGAATAATCTTGCCCATAATCAAGTTGAGGCTATTATTTCCCTATGAAGGAAAAATGTCTAAGAGCATCTCCATTGACTTATAGACAAAGGAATAATTTGTTGTGGAATCCAATGCAAATGGCTACTTATGTGTAAATGTAGGCTTAACTGTCATAACAGACTCAATATGATTTGCTATGCCATAGTTGGTCACATTGTGTTAGGCCATGATAGGTAACCCATTCCCAATTGGAAGAATTGTTTTTTTTTTCTTCTATATTTACAACATAGAACCTTCTACATCATTAGATAACGGTAATCATAAATATTTTCATCATAATTTCATTTCACTTCATTCATACTATCAAAAGAATAATATACAACAATTCAAATACAACCCTTTCTAAACCAATAGGCATACAATAAGTTAATTACCAAAAAAATCACCTATATTCAAGGAACATACTTATAGTTCAAACTTTAACCCTTATCAATGTTTTTTGCTCAAGTAGTGCCTTTCCCTTTTGTGAAATAATATGCAGGTAATATAAGAATGAGCAACACTTGCTCCGTAGGCTACTTACGACCTACTAGAGAATACAATATCTATATGAAAATGATTTTCATGATAGTTGAACATTGTATAATAATAAAATATATTTTAATAGATTAACTTGGTTGTTCGCATCATGTGTTGTCCCTTAAATAACTACATAAGTGCAAAAAGTTACATGTTAAACAACAAGAGTGCCAATAATAATAACATGAACATTTGCTTGAACATTATGTCGGAAATAAAATACATAATAGAAAATAACATTCATCATATTATTTCATAACAAATTTCATATTCCCTATGTCTCCTTATACCTTCACTTTCACTTATACCTATATTTTATCATATTTTCCCCTTAACCCATTACACTTCCACTTATACCTCTACTTGTTCATATTGCATCTATTTAGGTGTATCATACTAATAGATGGAGGAATCATAGGTGTGCACAAGCCCTTATAACTTTACTTGTATTATATAAAAAACATTAATAGTCGCCACTTGCATTTACTCATTTCTCCCTCCTTTCACACATTTTTAAACACATAAATATAGAAATATTAGTACTTTCAACATATATGAATATCATTCAACAGGATAGAAAAAAATATGGAAAATTCACATGTACAACAAAAGTAGTAATGTTCATGTTGTAAACTTGTATAAACATTCAATAATGGCAAATTAAAAAATAATTCATGAGTAACATTTAAAGTGACAAAAAAAAAAAAAGCATTCTTGAGTAACATTCACTACATCATTTTAAAGTATTTATTATCCTATGGTAATTTCTATTAGTATCAACAGACTCATCGAAATATTTAAAATATTTTACGATGCAAAATGTTGAAATATGGACTCTTATAAAAACATCAAACCTATTCTGCCCAGTCTTGAGTCATGATCCATTATGCTACGGTGTATATTGTGCCTAAAACGTTAGTGTGCACAAGGTAAATATCTAGTGATAATATCAAGAGGAACAAAGTAAAAGTTTAATAATGTTTGTTATTATTAAAGTCATAAGCTCAGGCTCTCGAATTGCAATAATCTCATCTTTTTTTATGATGACAAACATTATTGGTTAAATTTTTAAGTTTATTTTATTATTTTTTAATCTCCCCCTTATCGAGGGAATTATTTTAAAAATTTGGGAGAAAACGTTTTTTTTTTTTTCTGAATGAAAATTTTCAATTTTTAAATGTAGAATAATAAAGAAACATAAAAAGTAGAAACATAAAAAAGTAAAACATAACTAAGTAAAATATCAACAACCATAATCAAACATATACCCCCCCTTTTGACATCACAAAAAAAGAGATACATTCAAATAGAAAGAAGATGGAAATAGAAATAAAGACTACAGCACAACAAAAATAAGCCTTGAAGTAAGAAAAGCACCAATCAAGTGACATGATGGTGGTTGCTGGAAATACTAGTGAATGACAAAAAATTGGTTGCTAAATCAGGCTCGATCTGCCTCACATTATTACTTTATGCTGCTGGAGAAGTTCATGCTACTGCTGATACATCTACTAGATCTCTTACGGGGGATGTGGAATAACCTAAAGAATTATAAAAATGATTTAGGGCTTTATCAATCCCTAAATAATGATTAGATTTTCTTTGATATAAAAATTATAAAACCCCCACTTAATTTATGCAAGTATATGCATCGAATCAAGTAATATAGTGATAGAGTAGAATATCAATCTCATGAGGAGGAATGTTTACTTACAAATACTAGTATTATCTACTTCAATTGCAATAATCATCTCACTCAATAAAAATAAGTTTTGGTGGAGATTCAATCACTTAATTTAAAATAAAAAATATTTAAATGAAACACTATTTTTTTAAATGATTTTGGATTAATGGAATGTAAATACAATATATTTCCTAATGATTTTCTTTTACATTGATGTTATTCAGAGCATATACATCACTAATTGCTCCATCAAGGATGAACAAACAAATGACAAATTAAATCTTCCAACCTTAATACATTCTAAACTCCCATAGTATGTTACCCTATAAGAATCTTTGAAGAGTAAGAAAAGCATATACTGTTAAAAGCCCTTCATGATAATTTATCTCTATAAATTTGATATATAACAAGCACTATGCCTATACTTGTATCATACTAATCCAACATATTTGGTTGTACTTATTTTCCTATTCCTTATATCCATATTACACCAGATATTAACCACACATATGATCATTATTTATGAAGAGAATTTATTAGTACTCTACATTCTATTTGCACCATCGATCTGAAACTATAGAATTTAGCCAAACATGAAGAACAAGTGAAGCAAATTTATTTTCATTAATTACCCAAAAGAATGAAAGTATAGTAGAAAAGATATCACCAGATGGATTCAATGATATCCTCTACACCTATCCTTCAACTTACAAAATTGCTTCCACAAACACATGCCTAACACTCTAATAGAATGTATCTTGTACTTCTCTGAATTCTCATAGTTATCACTCCTAAGGAAAAATCAAAGAAACATTATAAAGACTGAAGTTAAGCAAGTGATTGAACTCCTATACTAATATCACAAATGGATAATTTATTGAAAAAAAAGGATTCTGACAACGTAATGCTCGAAGCACTTGTGCCATGACGCCCAAAAAATGAACTAACACTATGTCATTGAAGGGTTTCCTCCGCTGCGATGCTTCTTGATAAGGACCCACTGTTTAATTAATTGATGTGTTGCATCAATAACATATTGTGGTATTAATGGTTATAATTATAGCACTACAAGACTATTGATGATTGAGCGTTATGGCATCCATGTGGCACTCCCCTTGGCTTGGCGGTGCTAGAATTTGATGCTACTACGCTGTGCAGACAAAGACTGGGCTTTGTGGCCTGGACTCCTCTGAATTTATAGTGCTATAAAACAAGGGCTAGACACCGCTATTTCCATATTTGGGCACTATGATGGTGTCAATAATGGCGCCGCGATGGTATAGCCTTCAACACTGCGGCGATGCACCATACTTAAATTTTTTTCTCATTTCATATATTTTCCTGCACAAAAATAACAAAAATAATATGTTTTCATTGATAGATTAACACATAAAATATAACATTATTTACACTTATCAAATCCTCCCCAGCTTAAACTCTTGCTTGTCCTCTAGAAAATAAAAGTTTATAATTCTGATTAAGCGATTAAATAAAATAAAATGTGATAATATAAAATTACTAAAATATAGGATAATACATCACTATCTAGAATTAGTAAAAATAAATCAAAGATATACTTCTAGTTTGGAAAACTACTAATAGCTAAACTTTATCAATTATTCTTATTTTTACCTAATTTGAAATTAGATTTGATCATAAATTTTGAATGTTGAAGTGAAAAATGTAGTTTTAATAATTGGATATGATTGTATTTAAAATTGTACTTTAATTAGTTTACCATCCCTTATATTAGCTCTCTCATCTTATCCCTTACAATTTTTGTATAAGATTATATTTCAAATATTAAGCTTTCATTGATACCAATTTTAGAATATATTCATCTTTTTATTTTATTATTTTTAATTTCTTTTTTTAAGAACTATTTGTATTTCTTTTTTTTTTCTTTTATAGAGAACATAATTAATGATTTTAAATATAAACTTATGTTATAGTATTTTCATACAATCTTAATAATTTTAATGTACGAATTTGGTGAGATTACTAATTGCATTTTTAAAAGTTAAATTCATAAAGTTATAACTTATAAATTAAAATTAGGATAATAGCTCAAATGGTTGAATTGTTAAGTATTAGTTTTTTCAACCTATAAGTATAAACAAAATTCATTCAAACTAGGATCTAGGTTTTTAATATTATCCTAAAATTAATTTTATAATTTTTAATTATTCTTTTTATAAGGGTTGATAAATTAATCATAATATAAAAGTAATTGGAGGACAATAATAATTTAAGCATGAAAGAAATTTTCTAATATGTAAATAAATACATAAACAAAAACTACAAACACATGCTTTCATATGAGTGATAAAAAGTGCATAAACTATGTGTTAAACATAAAACATAATATAACATTCATAACATAATGCAGTTATAAGATAACTAGTGCACATGGCACCCAACATTCAACAATGACTCTCAAAGCAAAATTTTCCAATTAAGTATAATTACGCAAGCCAATATCTCCCATCACTTCCTTCTCTTCTACAAAACAATAAAGTAAGTAAAAATACACACACATCCTTAATATTTCTTCACTCCTCTAATCATATGATTTCAATCTGTACCTATTGACTTTGATGGTTTGTAAGGTTTTCTTATCATGTATCCTAATGGAACCATTATGAAAAATTATAATGATAGTGGGGCCAATCCATCTAGAATTGATTTTTTTTCATTAAAATACTTTTCCTTATAATCAAATAGTAGCACAATATGCCCAGGAAAGAAATCATATAATAAACTCCACCATTATGCATCATCCTTATTTCCAATATGTACTTTTTCTTATCTTAATGCAATTCCTCATTGAATTCATTCAACTTTGTAATAATGATAGAACTTTGCATGTAGAGAATTGAAAAAGAATCCTTATTCTTGGTATGATTTTCATTTTTTTTTAAAAAGATGATATATACTGGATTCTACCCATTACTTAGACTTTTGATTTCCAAGAGAAAAAAGTATGTTACTCACTCAAGAGAAGGTAAGAACTGAGAAAGGAACTTCTCCCTTATTAGTTTAATAGATTTCAGTGGGAGGGAAGTTTGAAAATTTTGAAATTTCAATCATTATTCCCCGTCGGGGCATTGCGACATTCAAAAGTATGGCGTCGTGGTTCTCCCTTCTTCTCTCTCAAAGATTTTTTTTTTTAAAAAGAAAATTACGCAAAACGTAACTTAAAAGATAGGGTTGCCTCCCTTAATGTGCTATATTTTTAGTTTTCAACCAATCTGGATAACTAACTAGACCTATGGTTGGGTTGCCTCTCGAACAAGATTAAGTTTATAGTCTTTAGTCAGACTTGCCTGAATTTTTAATTTGGCTAAGGTGGATAATTGCTACCCGTCAATTGGGTCACATTGATATCTCTTTCCTTATCTTTAGGACTAACTTTAGTTTTACTAGGAAGAGATCCAATGGGCCTACTACTCACAGAAATTACAAGCTGACTTAGTTGAATTTCAAATTTTTTTATTGAATCATCCTGGTTTTGTAATTGAGTTTCCAATTGCATGAACACATCTTTTAGTTGTATCTTTCTAGTTCCATACTAATTTCTTTGATTAAATCAAGGAGGATATGCTGGTCTTGGATTGTTATTATCATAATTTTTATTTCAATTTGTGCCTTAGTTATGTTGACTAGAATTCCTTTGATTTCCACTTTTATTATTTGATCAACTAAGATTTGGGTGATTTCTCCAACCTGGATTATTTGTATTTGAATAGGGATTATTTTGTCTTCCAATCAAATATATATTTTCAATCCCTTGGATATAATTTTCTTCCATTAAGCTTTTATCTTTTAAAAATAAAGTGCTCAACTTCTTTGATATTGTTACAATTTATGCAATCAAAATAAACGAAGAATCTTAAGATTTACCTTATCTATAAGCCACTGGAAATTATTTGATGCCATTTCTTTAATTAATTTATAAGCATCTTCAAAATACTTTGACATCAAAGAACCTCCAACTATATCATCAATTATGCCTCTAAGGGATCCTACCAATTCACTATAAAAAGTTTGAATTATCAAACAATCAATTAAGGCATAGTGATGGCACTTTCTAAGCATCTCCTTAAATAACTCCCAACACTCATAAATAGATTCTCCTTCTAACTGATTAAAAGAAGTAATAACATTTCTAAGTTTGGTAATCTTAGAAGGTTGAAAATACTTTCATAGAAATTTATGGGCCAACTCATTCCATGTTAGAATAGGGCCTGGGGGTAAAGAATTTAATCACATTTTTGTCTTATCTCTTAAAGAAAATAGGAACAATTTAAGTCTGATGGCATCATCACTAACACCTTTGTATTTAAATATTGCAAAAATTTATAATAAACTTGCTAACTATTGGTTAGTGTCTTCAATGGGAGTTCCCCCAAACTGAGAATTTTGTACCATCTAAATGATTGTAGGCTTGAGTTCAAAAATTTTTTCTTGGATGATGGGTCTATTTATGGTTCGGTGAATTTCATCTACTAAAGGGTTTATAAAATCCTAAGGAGGTCTAAAATGATCTAAATTTTAAACAGGGTCAGCCATTTTAAAAATCATTTTAGTGGTTTTAATTTTAGAAAGGGTTCTCTCAAATTTATAATCAAAATTTAAATGTGACACCCCTCCATGTCTTGCAAGCATGAAACCACACATATGCAATCAGTAATTTAAAATAAAAGTATAAAAGAATATAGTTGGACTAATTATGTATTTAATTGAACATTGTAATAATTTTATAAATAAAACAAAATTTTCCCCGGCAATGGCACTAAAAACTTGATGGGGGAGATGAAGTAACCTAATGAATTGTGAAAATAATTTAGGGCTCTATCAATCCCTAAACAATAATTAGTTTTTGTTTGATATAAAAATTATAAAGGATCCACTTAATATAGACAAATATACATTCCAAATCAGGTAATATAGTGATAGAGTAGAGTATCAATCCAACGAATAAGAATGCTAACTTGCAAATACTGGTATTGTTTACTTTAACTATAATAATTATCCCACTAAATAAAAATAAATTTTTTGGAGATTCAATCACTTAATTTAAAATAAAAAATGTTTAAATGAAAAACTATTTGGATAAATTATTTTTGATTGATGGAATGTAAATACAATATTTTTTTAATGATTCTCAATTATATTGATGTTATTTAGAGAATATGCATCACTGACCACTTAGTCAAGCATGAAGAGACAAATGTCAAGTTAAACCTTTCAACCTCAGTACCAATCTAAACTCCCACAGTCTGTTACCCTATGAGAATCTTAGAAGAGTAAGTAAAGCATGTACTATTAAAAACCCCTTACATAAAAATCAATTTAATAAATCTAATACATGTCAAGCACTATGTCTATGCTTGCATCATACTAATCCAACTACGTAGTTTAATTTTGCCTGCTTTTCTATTCTTAGGCACCACATTACGCTTATTATTAACTACACATATGATCTTTATGTGCATTAAATGAAGACATGGTATATTGAAAATATCATGAAATTATTGATGAAGAGAATTTATTTATACTCAACATTCCATTTGCACCATTTATCAAAAACTAAAGAATTTAGCCATATATGAAGAATAAGGGAAGCAAATTCATTTTTATTAATTGCACAAAAGAAAAAAAAGAGTATATAAGTAAAGATATCACTGGATGAGTTCAATGATCTCCTTTATACTTCTCTATTAATGTAATGTATCTTATACTTATATAAATAGTTCCTTAGGAGTGTAAAGGGGATCATTGAACCCATCCGGGTTCAAGGTAAGCACTATAATGGGATGTATTTTGTACTTCTCTAAATTTCCTTTGTTATCACTCGTAAGGAAAAATCAGAGAAGCACTATAATGACTGAAATTAAATAAGTGACTCAAATCGTCTACTAACATTACAAATGAACTATTTATAAAGAAACATAGAAAAATAAATTCTAGCACTACGGGGCTCGAGACAATTATGGTACGATGACCATAAAATGAACAGGTTTCTCTACTGCAGTGTTTTCTGATATGGACCCATTGTTTAATGAATAAGCCCATCACTTTGCTGGTAGATCATGGTATGAAATGGTAGCACCATGGTGCTGTTGATGCTGCTGCATTGTCATATAAATACTTGGTGTCGCCATATCCATATTTTGGAACTTTGGTGGTGTAAATATGGTGTCGTGATGGTATATTGTCCAACACCACGACACTATATCATACTTGAAAATTTTTCCCATTTCTTGTATTTTCCTGCACAAATATAACTAAAATAAAATATTTTAACTAAAAAGTTAATACATAAAATATAATATTATTTGCACTTATCAATCTCCTAGTGTTACTGCTGATGTAGCTCATATTTTATTTGGAAAAGCTTGTGATGGTGGTGAAGCCACTCCTAATGCTGAGTAGTCCCGGATACATTGTTGTTGATAACTAGTCCAGGCAGTCAAGTCATTCCACAATCAAGTTGTAGTCCTGGAACTTATGAGTTGGTGCTGGTGCTAGAGGTGGTGCTGTAGGGTCTACCCTGCCTCATCGAATTAGTACTCTTCTTCGAGCTCATCCCCTTGGTGTCAACAAAAGAAAATGTGGAAGGAACCATCAGAGTATAATATTATGAATATATTTTCTAATGCAGGATATAAAAGTTCATATTTTTTATATAGGACGAAAGTGACTAGGTGTCCTAAAGAGATATTCTTCTTATGTCAGGTTGAAGGTTGACAAATGGGAGTAAGATTTTGAAGTAAAAAATTATATGGGATTTATCAAATTTAGTGCCCTACAATATGAAATAGGTGACGATAGATAGCAATGGGGTAATATTTACTCTTCCTCCAACATTAAGAAGAGTAAAAGTGTGGACAACATGATAGATAATATGGGCATTTTGGTTAAGTGATTGGATTAGAGATATGTGTTGATTTAAGGGGGTATTTCTAAGAGTTAAATTTAAAGTGTTCCAATCATAATCTCCCTTTGATGTTAAGTTGTTGAACACCTTTTGTAGAAAGATGTAAATATCTAGTAAGGTCCTGTTTGATTATTTCTACAGGATGTTTAAAGACATAAGAGTTTATGGAGGTAAAATTAGTATTAGCACTAAGGCTTATAAAAAATTCAAAGAGCAGTTCAGAGTTGAAAGAAAAAGTGAGGGTTAAGAGAAATTACAGAGTGGTGATTGCGAAGAGGTCTATATCTTGATAATTAAGAACTGCTTGATTCAGGATGTGGGAAGGTGTAACGTGGGATTCTTTGAATCAGCATTATAAATTGTTTGAAATCTATCATCAATTGGCTGATGAGAGAAGCTCACTTGAAGCAAATGGGTTTTCTTTCTATCGGCCATATAGAAAGCTAAAGCTGGGAATACAAGAGGATAAGAGTTCAAAGAAATCTGTTCAATCCTTCAATTTTCCTTTCTTTTTTAAATTTTAGCAGATTATAAAGTATGATTGGGGATTATATTAGAAGATCAGAAGAAGTTAAATCATATGCACAACCTATCAGATAAAATAGTAAAATAATATAATATAATCAAGGTCATATTAGTTGATCTTCTAAAAAAAGTATTCATCTCGAGGAGATAGTAAAACTTTTGACTAAAGGTTTGTACTGTATGAACACCTATTCATACATTAATATTTCATAATTAATGTCATACTAATCGATTTAAATTAATCCAATAGTTTTTGACATGTGAACTTATAATATAAAGAGGAGGTCCATCAATTATTGGTCAAATATGGGTCATTCATTTCATAAGTGGTGAAGATGTGCAATAGTGTGTTGATCATATAATATGAATGAGGTTTGTATAGTATGATGTGAACACTCTTTTTTTACTAAAAAATTGTTTGGTGTTTAATTATCAGGGAAGGTTTTAACAACTAGTAACATCAATAAAACAAATCAAAATAAATAACAATAATAAAAAATTAATCAAAAAATTTAACAAATATGAAAACACATAAAGCACATAACTACACATGATGTTGATTTTATTTATACCCTGAATCAAGCATGAATATTAGTGACACCTAATATGCTAAAGGTGTTATAGCTTAGGGGTTTGGTAAAATGCCTGCCAATTGGTTCTTAGTTGTTATATGATGTAGTTCTATGTCTTCCTTGGCTACATAATCTCTAATGAAATAATGTCTGATATCTATATGTTTAGTGCCGAAATATTGAAATGGAATTTTGAAAATGCAAATGACACTTTTATTATCACACATGATTTTTATAGTGCCTAAAGAGTGTCTAAGGTCAAGGATTTATTACTTTAGTCATAAGACTTGAGCAACAAAACTTCCAACAGCTATGTATTCTGTTCAACAATGGATAGGGCTATTAAATTTTACTTTCTATTTACTAAGAAACTAATGATTGCCATATGAACTGACAAATTCCATAAGTACTTTTCCTATCTATTATACACCCCACAAAGTCTAAGTTTAAATATCCTAAGATTTCAAATGAAGAGCTATGTTTAGGATACCAGATACCTAAGTTTTGGTTGTCTTAAGGTATCTGAGGATTCTTTTAACTACTGTTATATGGATTTGGTTTAGCTTAAAATCTAGCACATAGAAAAACACTAAAAATTACATCTGCTCTACTAGCAATCAAATACATAAGTGTTCCTATTATTCCCCTATACTATTTTGATATACTAATTTTCTATTTCCATCCTTGTTTAATTGAATTATACAACTCATGGATGTATTAATTACTTTAACACCTTCCATCTCATACTTCTTTAAAATTTCTTTGATATAATTACTTTAGCTAAGAAAGATACCATCATCCATTTTCTTTAAAATAAATCCAAGAAAATATGTCATCTAACCTATCATACTCATCTCAAACTCTTTACTCATAATTTCTGAAAAATCATTACAAAGATGTTCAATTCTTGATCCAAATAATATATCATTCACATATATTTGAATAATAAGTAGATTAACTCCTACTTTCTTAAGGAATAGATTGTTAACTACATAACCCTTAATAAATGATATATAGGAGAAATGTATTAAGCCTTTCATACCATACCCTAGGTGCTTTCTTAAACTTATATAAATCCTTTTCAATTAATGCATATGATTAGGAAAGGTTAAATTTTCAAATCCCGGGGTTATTCT